CCATCTGCACTACAGGAATGACAATACAGGCATTGCCCAGAGGCAATTCTCTGAAGGACACAGTGTTGCCATCCAAATGCTCAGAAATCATGAGCTAGATGGTAAAAAGTCAGCTATGATGCTGACTTTTGCCTATAAGTTAGTCTTGTATTTTTAACCTTAACTACGTGCAGCTTTTTGTGCCTTTGTAGTCCATATTTTCAAGCTCTCCCCTCCACAGCTACAGGTGATTTCTTCAAACCAATGCAAAACTAATTCTTACCCAGTCTGCTGAATTCTGACTCGGGTGGCCTTAAGAAAACCCCATGAAGTTTATACAAAAGCTTATATAAAGTCCCATTTTGTTCTTTGGCTCTGTGGAACACGGAAGGTATAAATACCTTGCCCATCATCCGAGTCCTCTGTTTAACTCCATCTTCAGCATATACCCCCTACGTGATGTGGTAACGCAGATTGTTGCCTGCTCCATGAATTAGGAACAACCTTGTGCCCAGCGTTACCCTACCTATCACTGCACCTCGGCTTGTTTGTGTGCCTTGTTCATGAGGGGAGCCTGAAGATACATCACAAGTGACAATATGTTCACACCCTTCAGATTTTGCCTACGTATCTTTTCGAAAAATTTCCAGGTAAAGTCTCAAAGCCATTCTTCTAAAGGCCTTCATGGAGTCAGGTCCGTGGCTGGACAGTTCATTACATTCATACTGGCAATTCCTTGCTTGCATTTGCTCGACAGTTTCCGTTCCAGCTGTTCCTGTGTATACGAACAGAAAATGTGTCCCTGTCTGTCATCCGCAGTGAGACGCCGTATCCTAGAGGATGTACGCAGATGGAGTTGTACCTGGTTTACAGAGAAGGCTGAGTGTATGCCACATGCTATTCAGGTCACTTGAAACTAGGCTAATTACCTGGCAGACATTGCTGCAGAGCAGATTCTTTCATAAAAATGAATGGGGTGACAAGGGATGGACTCCTTACTATTTTGGGACAAACTCTCTCCTCAGGCAGCAGATAGCCACAGCGGTGAGACTCCCAATCTATCATTGGGTTTGCTGTTTCTTGGCTCTAGAACTTAATTAACAATTCTGGAACCAGTCTGTTTCCCAGGAATAGCCTGTAAATCCGTTAATAAAGGCAGACGTGGGCAAAAATAAAAATCTCACACAAGTCAGAAATGAAAAATTTTGTTGCTTTAACAACTCACAAAAGCCAGTTCAGGAATGTTCTAAAACCTGAAGCTTTTCTGTCTAGCAGTTCAAGCAAGAGGGAAATGCTCCTGGATGGAGCATTTACTCCATTTAATGGAGAAAAACACCACCATTTTTGGAACCAATTATTATTAATTACACAATTACTTTATTGCATAAAATAGTACACACACTGTGAAAACTGAGGTAAAACATACTTACAAATATTTTTCTCTTCAAGATCTGAAACTGCAACACAAACATTTGTCATACCTGTGAATTAGACTGAAACAGGTCCTGAGGCTAGAAAAGCAGTGTTCTTGAGGATCGGAACTCGGTCATCCAGAGCGCTGTGCTTCCTCAGTTTCCACGGATTTGAACTGTGAAGGAGCTCGAGGCATTGCGGTGTTTGGTCTTTTACAGGGAAAGCCAAGGATAAGGTACCACTCCTACCCTCTGCCTATCTTATAAACAACCAGAACACCACTTTTGATCGTTTACTTTCCCTCCCATCACCATTTTGTCTTGCTAAAGTATGCCTGTTCTTAACTTTACACAGCACTTCCATGAATGTCAGTCTGCTCACAGTGAATTACGCTAAGGATACCTGTATGTCTTTGTAATATTAGTGTCTTACGAAGCCATTCAAATTCAATTAATCCATGTGCAAGAATAAGATGACCAGAATTTGATTCCATTGCAGTATAACTATTTCAAATGAAGTAAATATTCTTTAAAAGTGCAGATACCTTTTTTCTTCAAAAATTATGACCAGGAGTTAATAATAACATTAAATCCTGCCTTGGGTAGATGGCAATCAATTGCAGAAGGAGAATTTCTAAATATCTGAATGTGCTCCCCTAAACTATCACTCATGTTTTAAGATGGCCAACGACACCATTTTATTGCTGCAGTTAGCTGGAAAGAGCACTATTCTGCAAAAATCCGATAATGTACTTATTTCTAAAAGCTTGGAACAAAAGAGCCAGCTGAGATTTGCTGAGTAGTTGCAAGATAGCCATTAAATATAAATATTTTTAAAAACAATTTACTCTTTCCTAATGCTTTTAGAGCAGCGCGTGGGAAGAGTCTAAATGAAGCATCTTACTGCATTAAAAAGGACACGATGAAGGTTATTTGGCTCCAGATTTAACCCTTCTACCTCTTAACTGCTCATAACAGTTCCAAACCTATATAAACTATGTGACTTTATATAAAACTTACCCATCTTTCCTAGTGGTAACACTAAAAGTTTATATTTTTAAAACAACTTTCCAATGGTCCACGATTTTAAGATTCCTACAGAAACAAACTATTTTTAATGGTGAATTCAAGCTTACGTTTCCACTCCTCAAAATAAAAATAGCAGCAGAACTGGAAACTGCTTTCTTTTCATCCTGAGTGTGCACTGTAGACAGAAGAGAGAATTGCTTTGTGGGGCTGTATAAGTATAAATGGTGTAAGTATTTGTATCACTACTTTGAATTAAAATGTGTAGGCCAGTTAGAAAGAAAAGAGGCTGATTTTTGCTCCAAACTGTCCAGGTCTTGCTCCTGTATAATGAATAACAGAATTTGATTCTGGTACTCGGGCAGCGAAGCGTCATTCAACCCTTTGATCCCAGCAGTGCACCTGACAGGACAGCCCGTTGCTACCATGCGGGAGGCAGATTGACCGAACCATGAGACCAATTCTCGTAGCAGGAGGACAATGACAAGGCTGACACTACCAACAATGGCCTTTGCAAGGTGTCCCTCATATTTAGGTCATCCTGAAGTAGACCTGCAGCAATGGCACTGCATAGCACTTGGCCTGGACTTCCTCTACCTCCATACAGAGCCTTCATGGCCCAAAGACAGAAGTGCTGACTTTTCATTGCAGCCGTTTTTCAGTTCAAAGTGCCCGAAATAACAGGCAGGCCTGCAAGCGGGGTGGTTTTTAGCACGATGCTGAGGATGGTCAGGAGTGTTAGGCAAGGCCTACAAGGATAGTATCAGGACACTGAAGGGCACAGTGAGCCAAAGCTCATGTAGACCCATCCATTCTGGCTAGGAGTAATCGACCCCTGGAGAGAACTGTCCCAGGACTTTACTGGGTATCTGATTGAATCCAGAGGAGAACTGAGGAAGGAACTAACACTCATGCAGACAGGGAACTAAGGACACAGGAGCAAACATACCTTAAAAATGTCCTTCTTGATTCGTGATACTTCTATGTTTGGAATTCTAGTAGCTGTAGGTAGGATTCATCTAACTTAAGACATCTAAGTCTCAGCTTAGCACCTTATGCTACTTTTATGGTCAACAAAGAAAAAAAGACCTATCTATATGGTGATTCACCTGGTCTTTCTCAGACACCTATTTAAGGATGAAATGGATGAGCCTTCATGAATTGGGTACGTGGAACTTCAGAAAAATGTTCTTGCTGAGAGGCTATCTGATGTTGATCACCATGGATTGACACCGAGGCTCATATCATTCTGTATCATCATCAATAATACATCCTTGGGAAATCTGCAGACGATGTGAAATTGGGGGAGTGCCTGACACCCAAAATGGTCCAGCTTCGATCCAGAAAAACCATAATCTAAGGAGAAATGCAAGGTTCTGCACCTGGGGACCAATGACCCCAAGCACCAGCAGAGGCTAGGAGCTGACTGGCAGAGCAGCAGTCGTGCTGAAACCAGGCTTACAGTGGAAGCCCAGCTGAACACGAGCCAACAGCGCACTCCCATCACAAACATGACAAAATGCATACTGAGCAATGCTGACTGGCTGAAAGGGGCCACCAGATGGAGGGAATATTTTGTTCTCCTCTGCTCAGCACTGGTGAGGCCATACTTGCAATACAGTCCAGTTTTGGCACAGCCACTACAAAAGGGATGTGGAGAAACTGGAACCAGTTCACTGGAGGGCTACCGAGCTGGCTACCTAGAGAACATGATCTACAAGGAGAGTGGAGGAAGCTGGACTTGTTCAGTCTGGCACAGAGCAGTCTAAGTGTGGTCTAACCGCAGCCTGTGACTGCTTGAAGAGAGTTACAAAGATAACGGAGCTGAAGCTTTCTCAGTAACGTCAGATAACGTAACAAGGGGCAATGGCCAAAGAACTGCTGCTTCAAGGCTCAGACTGGACATTAAGATTTTTTTTTTCACCAGGAGCATTGCACAGCACTGTGACAGACTACCCAGAGGAGCAACTGCATCCCTGTTGTTGGAGGTTGTCAAGACCATAAATCCGTGGCTCCAGTGTCAGCAAATGCCCAGCTTTGAGCACAAGGATGGACTTTCCAACGAACACATCTAAAATCCTGTGATAAACTGAAAACATACAGCCTCAGAATTACAGTTGGGTCAAAACACTGCCAGGTGAGAGCCTCTGCTGAAACCCACAGGCAGCAGCTTTTGCAGTGTGCCCTCTGTGAAACTAAACACTGCCGAGCCATGCTCAGCCTCACTGGAGTCAACCGCAAAATTCTCGTCGAGCTGGGACAAGTGCTTGACCTGATGGTGGAAAAACAGAGTTTGCTGAGGGAGACAAACCAGTAATACCTAGGGTATGACAAACAGTACTGGAATCCATCATGATATTGCTACCATCATCTCTGGAATGTGTCTAAACCCACTAATTCTCTATTAATAACAATAAATGGAAATTTTCACCCAGAACTATGGTGACAGGTACTGAACAGGGTGCTCTGAGCTCTCTCCCAGTCTTTGTGATTCCCTAGATTACCTGGGACTTTATTAAACTGATTTTTGCAGCACAGAGTTCCTTCTAAAACCAAAGATTAAATTAATTGCTGAAAAAAATCCATTTTGTTTGGTTTTTCTTAACATTTATTATACCCTTAGAATAAATGTTTTGTGTCTTTGGCATATGTAAGAAGAGAAATTTAACTTTCAGTAAGAACAAAACTATAGTTCCCAAAGGCAACTGCATGAAGAATCATAAAGCACAGCTAAGGTTAGCTCAGAAAGAACATTCACTTCTCATCCTGAGAGTGTGACCAGACAGGCTTACGTTTCTGAATAAAGGCTTCAATACCTTCCTGCCCATCTCTCAAACTCAAATTGTCTACCATGACCTGCGTAGTCATTTTGTAAGCAGTATCGAGGTCCTGTGCCATCTGTCGATAAAAGGTGGCTTTCCCCAATGCCAGGATGGATTTGCTGCTTTTGCATATCTTCTGACAGATTTTCATGGTCTCTTCTTCCAGCTTGTCTTCTGGTACCACCTTGCTGACAAGCCCATGCATTAATGCTTCTTGAGCAGAAAGAGGTTCACCCGTGAAAAGCATCTCTAACGCCACCTGAACAAGAAAAAATAGTGTATTAAGTCAATTCAACTGCCTTATTGCTTTGGTTTGTTCGAGAAATTTCAGCCTCCTCCTTCAGGTACAAGTTACTCTTTCGACAAACATAAGATTTAAACCTTTTGGCCTCTCAGACTGCCAAGGAGGTGTGAAGAGGTTTCAGCAAAGAGAAGGACTGGGTCTAAAGCTGGCCTTCCTTCAGACCTGCCCACCGATTCCAGCTGTCCTAGGCTGACATCTCTGGGCTTCATTTCAAAAGCCCACAATCTCTAGTGATTGCAGTAGAATTCAGAGAGATGAGGATGGTCCACGATGTCAAATGACTGAACTTGGTATTTTAAGCTGGGCATATAATAATAAATAAAGACTTACTATGTCAATGTGCAGTATTTGAAAATACCTGTCTTAGTTTAAGTTTGGTCAGGGTGTTTTTAAATATGTCCTTCTTACAGCCACATCTAGTTCAGTCTCCTGCTCCTTCCGGCATCTTGTACTTGAGGTTTCAAATTAAAACATTCCCAGTGACTATTCAGTGTTATATATCAACAAGAATTTTCTTCCATGACTCCTGATGCAATTGACCAAGGCCCTGAATCACAGGAGCTGATTATCCTCATTAGTATCTTCGCTACAAACAATGGCAGCTTTTCCTTTGATAAAAGGTAAGATCAGTAATCCTGAGAACTGTAGGGAATGTTCTTGCTACTTTGAGAAGTGGCACAGAGAAAAGTTTATCCCACACATTTTAAAAAGGTAATCATAAACCCCAGAAATACTGATTCAGAAACACTGTTAGCACACTTGGCAAAACCCCCCCACAGACAGACTGTATTTGAACTGGATGGCCTTACAGACGGGAAATTTAAAGCTGAAGCTCTTCTCCAGCAACTGGACTTGTGCCATTAGGTCCCTGCATCTCAGCTGAGCACACCTGGGCTTGGAGGGTCTGTCCGCACGAATCCAGCTGGATCAGAACTTAAAATTTCTTTTCTCAGTTACGGAAGCTTTACAGATTGTACTATTATTTATGCAGTGAGCAATGCGTAGTCACAATCAGTAGGGAATAAAGCAGGAAAAAAGTACTGGAAGGTTTTAGATGCTATTTAAAGCATGTTGATCTACACCCAGGCAGATCATGCTGGCAGTGAAATGTCACTGCCTGGCAAGAACTGATACCTCGGTGGGACTGATATCCTGAACTTGCAGGGGTTTCCTCATCAGGGGAGAACATCACTGTCTGAAGCAGAGAGCTGTCTGTTGGAAAGGAAAGGGATCGCTGAGCTGGTGTGCTGCTGGCATGAGCTCCTGCTGGTTGGAATCGCATCAGTAGGAAGCAGCTTTCCCTAAACGGAGTTCATCCCTTTATTATTTTTCCCAGTCTACAGAGTTATGAAGACGTCTTTTGCAATGAAGTGTTGTGAATACTGTACTGCAGGAAAATAAAGTTTAGACAATGGAACTAAAACGCCTAACATGGGAACCTACTTCTCGCAAAATCACAGAGAGTATCTGGGAAGGAAGCGTACCTTCCTTGGAAGAGATCTGCCCAAGGCCACACCTGGTGTGGAGCAAAACAGTCCGATGTTTACTCCAGGAGTGGCAAATTGAGATTTCTCACTCGCCACTGCGATGTCACAGCTTGCCACAAGCTGACAGCCTGCTGCTGTAGCCAAGCCATTTACTTTGGCAATCACTGGTACTGGAAGTTTCTGGATTAAAGTCATAACCTGCGTGCACAGAAGAAAGCAGTCAGTTAGTCCTTGAACCTTGAGCAGTGGCTGTTCCAAAACTTGCAACTGCTTCACACAGCTGATGTGTGCATTTTTCAGCTTTATTAAAAGGAGTTTAGTAAAAGAAGTCAGCTCTCTGAAAACCTTTTTCAATGTACGAGACCACTGCTGTTCCAGTAGCTGCTCCGCTGTGTTCATGTCGCATGAGTTGGTCCTCATAACTCCAGTGGAAATGGAAAACACACGGATGAAAGGTAGAAGCACTTGTTATCAGATCTGCGTGCAGCCTGGGTGCCTCTGCACTGCAGGTGTGCTGCTCCTGGCTGTGGGAAGGTGTGTATCCGAGACACACCATCCCCACCTCCATTTGCCCCATAATGGAAAACTGACTGAATAAAAATCTCCGTCCCAAGAAACTAAACCAGCCTATTGCTGACGTCTGCATGACTCGAGCCTGGGTTGATCTCACCCAGCACAATCATTGGATGTCTTTCAGGGCTTACTCTGCATTCCAGGGAGAGACTTAACCTGCCAGGAAGCAATTTTTCCTGCTTGCATTAGACATAAGATGGGAAAACACACTCATTCTCTCTCTCATTCTGGTAATTCTTGAAGGTTGGACATCCAACTTCAGATAGCTGAAGTTGAGAAAGATGAATTTGTCTTAACTTTTCTAACTCAGGTTCTCCTTCCACACAGTGGGAATCAACAAACTCACCTAATTTTAATGCCTGAAGACAGAAAACACTAGTTAAATGATTACAGTCATTATCTGGATTAAAAAAAAAATAATCTCCTATCATCACAGTATAGCAAGATAACAACTTCTCATTTGCTACTTCAATGTCTCCAGCAGATAGAGTCTAGCAAATTTTATGATGCTTAGGTAAAATTACCTACATTTAATCTTCAGTTTGATCAGTCTTTGTCTCTGTTCTTCTTTGTTTAAAAACAAATTTTCAGTGGATCTGGAGAAGCAGACAACAAAGGAGTAACAACACGTGCATGTGTGCAGACAAACAACTACAGAGTACTCTTGTGGGTATAAAAATTCAAAGTCAGCTGCTTCTCCGAAAAACCCCTGGGTACTTATGGTTTTGTATTTGAAAAGCTCTGGAGAAGCAATATTCTCAGCTGTCTCAAAACTGTATGTGGCGAGTTCTCGGATACTGCATTCTATGGTATTACTAACATTGTTGTATGCGTGGGGAAACAGGTGTAGCAGCTGAGATGATCTGCTAAAGATTACCAGTCGTAGACAGATGTAGAAGCCAAGGGTCCAGAAAAGCAATCCGGTGCTCTGGATCCCCCAGCCCACAATGCTGTAGGCATGTCACTTAGGGTAGGATCCATTCTACTTGACTGAAATTTCGGAAGACACGATCCTGTTTCGGAAGCCCTCAAAAGTACCCTTTCCTCTCTATTGACCAAAAAAAGAAGCAAAAGTCAGTTATTCTACTAGACAACTAAATTTTAGGTATTCATTAGGATCCTAAAATGAATCCTAATTCATTTAGGATCCTAAATTAAATTAATTTCTCTATTTTTGTTTGGCTGTAACATGCTATTATTATTTAACAGTAAGACCTTCTTCCTTCATGAGGATAATAGCGAGTTGTGATTTACAAGAAACTTAAATCCCTTTAGGCTACTCAGGTAGAGAGTTTAAGGCACTCGTCACTACCATCAACATCGGAAAAGGGATCACTTCAAGTGTCATTTCATCTCACATATTTAATTTCTTCCTGAACTTGCATTGCCAGTTTCACAGAAGCATTTAGGTTGGCAGTGATCTCTTGAGATCATCGAGTCCAACCCCCCCTCAAGCAGGCTCGGGTAGAGCAGGTTGTCCAGGACTGTGTCCAGCTGGGTTTTGAGGATCTCCCTACCTCTGAATTTCATGGTCTCAGGAATATTCCTCTGAAATCGGTACACCAATTTTTATTCGTAATAACGCTCCCTTACTAAACTTACTGTACAGGAGGGCACCATTCTCACAGAGAAAGGTAGGCTTGTTTTTAACTCTAAATGCTGACATTCTGTTGTTTTCTGCTATTTCTCTTTATTAATGAAAGATAAGCTTGCTTTAGTATTCACTAATCCTGAATGTAGCCACAATGCTAGATATACATACAGGACACTTGAAATTCTTCTGGTCCTTAAAGTGAGAAATTTACCAGCCCTTGATTTCATGCTATACGGAATAAGTTTCACATTTTTTCGGCCTGATTTTTCCTATTCTGTGACCCAGGAGCTGCATGGTTCGGTTTTCCACTGACAACGTACTGGTATTCTGTCCTGCAACTGCAAAATTAATATTAAACTATTGCCTGCTGGACTATTGGACCTTGGCTCCTTTCTGAGGAAGGGACTAACCTGTCATTCAGTCATATTCGTGCTTACCTCTGTGATCAGCTTACCAGGATGAAATCCAGGCAAAGCTGCCAGGATGACTGCTTCATGTTAAACTGAAGGCCCTTCAGTGGTAACTTTCATACATGGCTTTTACAGCATTTGTTAAATATGGGCTTGACAAGGTGTATAAAAATCATTATTACTGGAGGAACTAGAACCAAAGGTTTCAAATGACTTTCTGTGGTCATGCTGAGCAAGATGGGGTCAAATTCTAGTGCTGTTACAATCAACGGGTGTTTTGCCATTCTCTCCAAAGGCTCCAGGATTCCCTTTAACTTCCCGACCTCCAGGTCTGTGCCTTTAACAAGAACTTGTATGGTCTGCTGACTGGGCAACCAGCGACTCAGAGGTGTGTTCAGATCCTACCGTCACATTGTCTGCTCGATGTTTAAGCTGGCCTTGAGTTATTAACTAGATGCTGGGAAAGAACATTTGCTCACAAGTGATCCGAAGGTCGTTATCCCTAGACATCCAGGAAAGACACTGCCCAAATACTCAGCTGCAAGGAGCACTGGCTAAACCAAGGAACACGACATGACTGCACCCGTTGTAGGGGACATGCACATCGGCACGCTAGCACTTTTATTTGCATGTAGAGGACATAACATAATTTTACCAGGATCAGGTATTAAAATGGCAGAGCAACAAAAAGCATGGGATCTGGGGCCACAGTCTGTGCTTTAGCTAGCAGATAAGCAATGCTGTCCCTCCTTAAACCTGTATCATTGCTTGCTCTTAATATCAGGCAACTTGAGCAGAACTGCTTACCTCTGCACATATTTCAAATATTTGGGTATGATGCTTCACATCATCTTCACTTGACAGTTCCTTTAAATCATGGCCGGAACAAAACACAGGTCCTTCAGCTGCAAGACATTTCAGGAAAAGTCAGTCTGAATTAATCAAGAAACCAATGGTAGCGGGATATCAATGCCCCAGTTAAAGGCATAGAGGGGTCAATGGTCAAAACCAAGGAGCCTGGGAGGGAGTTCTATGCAGAGTTCCCAGATATACTGCCCTCTGGGTTTTGTAACAACTTCAAATAGCCACAGCGCAACATTTAACCACAGTAACACCCATAAACATTTGTAAAGGCCTGGTTTTACTTCCATTCCAAGCTACCTTGGTTAAAAATAAGGCGCTTCACACCTCTCAGCCCAGTTTCTTGTAAGGATACTGCACTAAACAGCTCCTTGGTATAATGTAAACTAGTCAGCTGGAGCAAGGATGGAGTGCTCTGCTCTTGGACTAATAAACACAGCCAGTCTGTATTTATTGTACCCAGCATTAATGATTAACTTTCGCCAAATAAGCATCAAGGTTTTCGTGTCATGGCATTCAAGGCCACAATGGAAAAAAACAAGAAAAAAGGTTGTTCTGCTAGAGGAGAACCAGAAGGGTTGTTGGGGCGTCTTTTCCTCCACTGCTAAAACTGTGCTCCAGAGAATCCCAGCAAGCACGGCCAGGGTTTGGGCAGCAAAGAGCAGGTTTCTGCAGACCTAAGTTTTGGATTTGCTTGCCTCCAGTGGCAGCCAAGATCAAAACACCCTTTTTGGGTACGCTACCTTTGGAACAGTTTTCCTTTGTCATGAGGGTATCTGCCATAAGAATAAACCAATGTGATGTTTTTGAATCCTCCAGAACTCCTCAGGTATTTGTACGGATGTGACATTTGCCCCTACAGCTACACAGCCACAACCTTACCTATGCATTTATTTCTCATGGACCAGATTACTGTGGCACAGTCTATCCAGAAATCACCACGCAATTAACACCAGTCAGCTCATGGGATCAGCAATATATATCTGGAAATTAATCACATCTGCATTTGCGCCTCACTGAAGAAGAATCCACTGCAAAGCCTGTGTTAAAGGCTCAAACCATGCCCTGAGCAGTCTTTTATTTTCTTGAGATTTCTTCTTTTGCATTCCATCCAGCAAGGGAATTGGAAATCAACAGGTACATGCAAATTATTTTTAAACTAAAACAAAAAAATAAATGAAATTGTGCTCACGAACTCCCAGACTACTGTAGTCCCAAAAAGGAACCTTGAATGTTTCACAAAATTTGTAACTGCTGTTTGAAACGTTGAATACCTATGTATTTAAACTCACCCCTGTGAAGTGAGCTTACGTCCACTCTCGTGTGTGTGGGCACACGCACCGTGTTTTCCTCTACGTACAGGAAACCGCAGCATCCTAAATTAATAAACCTATTTCTCCAAGATGTCTGGAAGGGGGGCAGGGGAAGATTATTTTCAAATAGCAGGGCAAAAAAAGCTCAAGTTTCATTACCTTTAAGAACAGGTTAATACCTAAAGGGAAGAAAACTGTAACAGCGCTGAGAGATAACGTTTTGCACCTGCAGGTTACGGGTGACTGCAGTATCGGTATTCTGGTCTCTCCTTCATCGGAGAGTTTTAAAACCAGTTTTGACAAACCAGTGGCAAAGCTAACGAGGCTGGCCCTGGCTTAGAGCAGAAGAACAGAGCATGCGATTCGAAGAAACCTTGTGAGCCCTGTCCATGACGACTGGTACCTGCCACCGAGGGCAACAAGTGTCACACCAGCTCGGCACGCGCCTGTGCGGAAACCTGGCTCTGGGAACGTTATTTCTTTGTAGAAATCACAGAAGGGTTTGGCATGCGATTCGAAGAAACCTTGTGAGCCCTGTCCATGACGACTGGTACCTGCCACCGAGGGCAACAAGTGTCACACCAGCTCGGCACGCGCCTGTGCGGAAACCTGGCTCTGGGAACGTTATTTCTTTGTAGAAATCACAGAAGGGTTTGGGTTGGAAGGGACCTTTAGAGGCCATCTAGCCCAACCCCCCTGCAGTGGGCAGGGACATCTTCAACCAGACCAGGTTGCTCAGAGCCCTGTCCAACCTGGCCTTGAATGTTTCCAGGCATGGGGCATCGACCGCCTCTCTGGGTGACCTGTGCCAGTGTTTCACCATCCTCATGGTAAAAAATTTCTTCCTTATACCTAGTCTAAATCTACTGTCCCTTAGTTTAAAGCCACGGCTCCTTGTGCTGTTGCAACAAGCCCTGCTGACAGTATTTCCCCCATCTTTCCCAGAGGCCCCTTCAGGCACTGGCAGCTGTTCTCAGGTCTCCCCGCAGCCTTCCCTTCTCCAGGCTCAACAGCCCCAGCTCTGATAACCGTTAGCACCCGGCGTTTGTTCTGTTTCAGGCGTTCTTTATGCACGGTTTTGAAGCTGGTTATTCCACCCAGCGACTGTCTGACAGAAGCTAAAAGCTCGTGGACCCCGTGAAGGCGCTGCACGACCTGACTGAACCCCCGGCATTCCGACACGCGCTTCTGCAGCACCGCTCCTTCGACACGAGCAGCACGGACACAAACGCGCCGAGGCAGCCGTCGCCTCTTCACGCTGCGCTGCAGAGCGAGGGATTCGGTAACTCCGCGGGACAGTCTGTGCGGGACACCCCGTGCCTCCCCGGCCCGCGAACCGACGCGCCAGTCCCTTCCCATTTTCCCTATTTCTGTGGGAGATCTCGGGTTCAGCTCCGTGTCACCCGGTTTTCCTCCTTCCCCCCCCCCCCCCCCCGCCCCGCGGCGGCACTCGCCTGCCTGCCTGGGAGACACATGGGCTCTGGCCACCAAGGCTCCCTGCAAGCACGAGAGGCGGTGGCTGGACACCCAGTGTGGCATTTTGGGGT